ATCATAACTTACATGTAGAGAATACTTACTATATTCTCCACACCCAAATGTTTATATTTTATTGCCACTTCAGTGAGAAATGCTATTCTACACTGTAATTATTACAGGTCTCAAAGTAGCACAACATAATCAGATCATTTTTTGGTAGAAAAAAACAGATTTTGATTGGCCAGAACCCTGGCTGCTTATAAACAGAGTGCAAAACAGTAATTAAACATATCCCTTAACAACTTGTTTGCTAGAGTAGAGGCATGGTGGCCTCATCATTAGTACGCTTTACTCTGGATTGGGTGGTCTGGATTCGAGCCCCGGCCAGGGCCATTGTGTTATGTTATTGGAAAGACAATTCACTCTCACAGTGCCTCTCTTTACCCTTGTGTATCAATAGGTTCTCGCAGCTGGGGGTAACCCTGCAATGGACTAGCATCCCATCCAGGGGGGTGAGTATAGATATTTGCATTTTTTTCAGCCTACTGAAACCGAGGTAGACTCCAGCCTGGTGGGCCACTAGGCTTGTCTGAAGACCTAACCATAATAATTTGTAATTTCCACTGGCATAAAGTATTCATATATATTTTTAGTTTAACTACCACAGAAATTTGAACCACATTCTGACAATTAGCATGTTGCTACTTCCAGCCCTGTAAATATTTAATGAAAACTTGAAGTGCTAAGTGTTTCTGGGAAGTTTTGAATTTAGTCTCTGTTCGAAAGTTATTGTTTATGTTTGTCAAGCCACTGATGGAATTCAATAATGTTTAAGTACCTGAGGGGGCATCGTTTGATGTCAGGAAAGCTGTCATGGCATCTTTCAGGCACTCTTTGGAAAGGATCCAATTGTACAAGATCTTCAACCATCTCCTTTTCATCTTTTAGAGAATCCCGAGTGGTATGTTGAACAGAAGACTGATGAATACCAGTAGAAGTGTCAAATTGTTCCTTAACCTCTTTGATGCCATTCGTTGCCTTGCAGACTTTGCTGATGGACTGGAAAGTTTTGTTTGGCCCCATTCTCTGGACAACAGACTTGCTTAGTCGATTAAAGATTTCCTGTGCCATGTCATCTTCCATGTTGTTTCCAGCGCCACCCCTCCAGCTGACAAAGAAACCCCATTTAAATTCCTCTCACATGCGTGGGGTTAACATACATTCTATTTGAGCGATGCTTACAAACATCTCAAGGGCATACTTGCTGTAAGCACCCATTGATTTAAAAACCGACAGCAGCAACTTCTGATTTATGAGGTTTCTTTCACTATCTGCCTCTGCTGCAGTGTCTTTCAGCTGTAAAATAAGGATGGTTAGGAAGATGTAGCACAGGGCATAATTTGAGACATAATCCTCCTCTTCCCCATTTGTAGTGGCATTTTTTTGCAAAAGATACTCATCAATGAATTTTTCAAAAACACTGTCAAAATATCTTCTCTTGTCTTCCTCTGTTTGTTGGGAAATGTTTGAAGGGAACTTGTTGTGGGAGAGAACATCCTCAAGACTTGTCATTCCAAAGAAAGTAAGAGCTGCAGTGACAATGTAAGCTCGACCAACACTGAGAAATAGTTCCTACTTTGGCTGGGGTGGCATTCCGGCGATTAAATTTTTCTCTAAAGTATTTTAGAGTTCCAATTTGGTTGACCGATTCTGCCTCGTACAGGAATGAGTATGAGTACTGTAGCAATGATGCTTTTGTGTGCCACATGACTGGCTTGAATGGGGAACAATGCTCAAAACGATCTGATGGAGTGTGGGAGCCTGAGAGCAAATCTTTAGCACCAGCGAATCTAACTCTGGTCAACTGGTCACCAGCAAAAACTATCTTCATTTCCCTCATAGGATCATCAGGGGTATCCTCCTTGTGAGCGTTTGTTTGGCCAGGTGCAGCTGATCCCTCTGGTACTTCAGGGTTGTCAACATGAGGTACTTTATCAAGTAAGCCCGCTTTGACATAAATCTCTGAAATCCACTGCTCGTAAGATCTCAAAATGCGGACACAATCTTCGTATTTAGCTTCATTGGCATTCAGAAGGGGCAGGCTCATGATGGTGGATTTTTGAGCCATTTCTCCACTGTAAATATGAGGAATATGTGCAGGGATGACTGACTTAAGCCACTTAAACTTTGGAAAGAATTCAATAATTATCCTTCCTGTGAGAATCTTTGCACAGTTTATGTACACTTTCCACTCATCAACATTTAATGAGAAATGGTGGCGTGGAAAATTTACAATGTCCCCCTTAGGATGCACATTAGGCAAGTGTGAAAAGTTGACCCGGTTTCTAATAAGGTTGGATGCAAAGAAATGAAGATCTTCATTCTGCACATCCTTTCTCATATGGCCCTTTAGGACTTTCAAGTCCCAGTTATCTCCTGTGCCTCGGAAAACAGAACCACCTTTTACTTTCTGAACAACTATGTCTGCAAAGTGCCCTCTAAGAAGTTTCAATAGGATATCCCGTCTTCCATGGGAGAGACAGACACCAAGCTTGTTCAGTCGCTCCTGAAGCTGGATTAAAAATGGTAAGAAAAAAGTAAAATTAGAGTATTCTCCCCAAGTGAAGATTTAAAGCTAACATGAAACGATACATGTTTCTAAGAAATGACTTGGAGTTTTGCCGTGGGAAATGTGATTACTTGTCTAAGTTTTGTATTTTACATTAGCCTGTGTCCATTAAGTTAGTATGGGTTTCTCCCACACTACATGGTTTGACAATCAATAAAACTTTATTATTATAATTATTATTAGATTTCCTATATTTAGGTTTCCTTATTTAAATTGCATATCAAGAAATTGTGTCAAATATTATTATTATTATTATTATTGCTAATAATCACAGATAAAATCCGGTTTTCATTGGTTCCGGGCAACAACCAGTTGTCTGGGGAAACCAAAAAGCGTCCTTTATTTTACTTTCCTCTCCTACCTACATCTCCAGCACCTTCCTAAGTACAGATCTCTAAGGCTTACCAACTAAAGACCAAAGATACTTTGCATCAGGTACCAACACTCAAGCTTAGTTTTGAATGAGAAGATTGTGATCTTTACTTTTTCAATAAAGTAAATATTTACACAAATTTATACTGGAAGAATTCTAACAGGTTGACTGTTATTTATAATATTGATAGTTGATGCAGCCTACCAATGCTAAAAATGTTCATTATAAGCTTATGTGGATGGGACCCAGCTCTGTAATTTTGTGATCAAAATTGTCAGTCATGCACTTCAGGTATTTTAGCAAATAGTCAGTTCAAACTGACTTTAGCTTACTTTAATTAGTTCGCATAAGAGAGATCATCACCTTCTTGGTACATCCACCTTCTATAATCAAAACTGTGTTTACGCGCTTCAAAAGACTTAGTTCGTGCCATCTTTCGCTCATCAGAATCGAGTAAATGAAGCTGTATTTTACTCGCAAATCATCGGATGTAAAGCTTTTCCCACAGACAGCATTCATGATGTTGACGACAAAGGGAATGTTGCTTTCTATCTCATTCCAAACACTATCAAAGTTAAAATCTTTCAGACTTTCGTAGCTGTGGCCATACAACACAGAGCCATCCGACCGTCTGCACAGCTTTTGACAGGCTGTGTTGATTTCCTCGTTGATGAGCAATCTTAGCGAAGAAAGCACTTGCGGGCAGTGGTCCCTTATAATTTCTGCCACATTAGACGGCGGCTCTGAATTCAATGCTCCAATAATGTAGTTATCGTTTAGTACTGGAAGCGTGTTTGACTCTTCGGCATTGTTAAGCCCACGTGCGGACGAATTTTCCTCTTCCATGGGTTCCTGATGTTCGCCTTCGTTAAACTGGACTGGTTTTTGTCCGAACATAAGCTGTTTTACGGAGGTTTTTCTGGGGATCTCGGTAGCCGCGCGCTTCAAGGGTTGTTTACAAGATGGCGACAATTCCGTGCAATGCTTCACTGAACACTTTTGGTCCAGTTCAAGTTCACTTTGAATATTCCAACTCTTTTGTTTGAAGTCGCTCACCTTGGAGACAAATGCTTCGCACTTCCTGCAGACCAACTTTGGAAGGCAATCAGCCTCGCTGATAGTAATTCCACAGACATGATGAATTTTCGCAGGAAGGTTTTTTTCAACGCCACTTTTGCCTAAGACCCGAAGCATGTGACGGCTTTCGTATGCACCACCGCAAAGCCGACAAACCGAATTTCGTGAGTGTAGCTTTTTGGGAGTCGGCGGCTCCATACAAGAGATTTTTAACACAGAAAACGTATTCGATTTACCAGACTCAATACCTCACTAACCTATACTAGCCCGCTTAAATTAATGACTTTTTGCATTTTTGCGGGGAATTCCAACTACCAATAACAATGGAGGGTTTAAGAGCGGTTGCATAGCGGTTGCATAAATTAGAGCCCATGAAATATTTATGACGGATCACGTGACCAGCCGATGCCAGGGTCTTTTCCCGCCCCTCCCAATTTCAATGGGAAAAGCCCTGGGAACGAGGTTGTTACAGGACAAGTGTAAAGAACGCTCCAAAGAGTCCCAAGTTTTTGGGCTAATCTTGATTGCAGTCCAAGAACAACTCTGCTCTCGGCCAATTCCAAAAACTATGTTCCCCCTAGGGTTCGACCGGAATTACAGGCCCTGAAACCAGTCAACACTATGAAACGTAACGCATGTTTGCAAAGGCAACTACTGCGACAACAAAGGAACGGTTAAGACCCTTAATATAGCATAGAAGGTGTCCTGACATTGTGGTAAAGTAAGTAAGGAACCAACAAACACGGCCCAATGATTAGACAACCACAGACATTGATGACACAGTCCCCACATCTCGGTTAAGCGTAATCCACAGCAAGTACGAAGGAACACGTTATTTTTACGGCGCATGTGCAGTGACAAAACTAGTCGTAACTTCCAACACATACCCAATGGAACCACTCTTGAGAGCAGTCACAAGAAACACTCATTTCTCGAAACTCAGCTCACTCATCAACACGTGCTTGACAGCAAACACGACAAGCAATTACCTATGGAAGATGGAACTGGTTGCCGAGTTACATCAGGCAGCAAATTACATATCTTTCCTTTAGTCCAGCCCACGGCGAATCCTTCCGAACACAACACCACTTTTACTTGATCTTAAAACCTCCAAACTCTGGTAGTCGCCTTTCTCTTATATCTTTCACAGACTTGCCCTGGCTTCGGTCTCCTGGTCTGCCGCTGCTTTCTAGGTCAGTTTGGTTTTCCGTAACCGTTCTTGGAGAGATGTCATGTAGCACACTGACTTCTTGGAGAGATGTTACGGTCTCCACAATACTTCCCCTGCTCTCTCAACTTTTACAGCACATCAAACTGCTTTCCCCCGACAAAATGACTTCTTTTCCTGTCAAGTTAAAAGGGACGCCTCTGCTGAAGGGATTTCAGTAGAACGGCTTGTGCTTCAAGGTCTCTCTCTTACAGTCTTTCTGAACGAGCCCTCCGCACTGACTTTTTAGCAACGCGGCTCCTTAATATCTAAAACTTCCAAATCCCATGCAAATGCAAGGTGTGGCAAAAAGGGACTATTGTAAAAGGTCCGATCTAGTAATTAACGGCTGACAATGAATATTTTACCCAATTAGTTTTATAACGAACAATAAGGTACCAACTGCAACAATAAAAGTTACGCAATAGAGTGAGACAATAAAAGAAGATACAATTTTTGGGTGGAGTAAATATATTGAAAGTATGATTAATGTAGATTGCTCACTAAATATAACCCTGCCTAGATATATACGGGGACAATTTATGATCAGGACTACAGAGAACTGGTGCTGGAGGAGAAATGGAATTTGATAAAATTGTAGATTATGTGGAAAGTCCTCAACTGGCATCGAAGTTAAAAAAAGAGGACCAGAGACTTCAACAGCAGTAGTAAGTAAGTAAGTAATAACTTTATTTAACCACGGAATCCTTGTCACTAAAAAGTGGTCTTCTAAAGAGCCGAGCACATTAAACTAAGGCTTAAAAATAACAAACATTATTGAAAAAATCCTATAATAAATGCCTACTAACAAAATCTTAATGTACAAAAGCGGAATAAAAACAATTTAAATAGTGGCCTGCGTAGCCTCAGGTTATGTTGCGCACTTCGAAGATTATGCCTGTGAATGGTATTAATGCTGGCGAATTTATCAGCGAGGTATTCGGGTACAAGGTTATTTACAGTTTTAAACATTAAAGGTTTCAGTTGCTTAGCACGTCTGTCAGCGAGGCTATCCCATTTAAGGGCGTGAAGAATCGGGGCAGAGCTGGCATCCCAGCTAGACCCTGTAATTATGCATGCAGCCCTGTTTTGTAGTTTCTCTAGTTTTTGGCTGAGACCATTACCGATACAGCCCCAGACAGCGCTGCAATAATCGAGATGCGGAAGAATCAATGACTTGTAAATAATGACAAGGGTACTCTGGGGACATATTGGTGTTAGCCTCCTCAGGGCAGCTAGTGCTTTTGCAACTTTACCGATGACTTCGGAGATGTGAGCCTCCCACGAGAGTGTTTCATAAACCTGAACGCCTAGGCATTTGTAACTATTCACTCTTTCATTTGAATGTCCATTGAGGGATATATGTGGATCGCTAGGGAGCAAAGAGTTTTTTTGCCTCGTGCCTGTAAACAGACATTTAGTCTTGAGGACATTAAGACTTAGACGGTTAGAATCGAGCCATTGCTTCAGATTGCCCAAATCATGAGTCAGGGATGAAAACAACTCATTAGGGTCTTTGGAGGCAAACGTGAGATTAGTGTCATCGGCGTACATTCTCACATCCGATAGGTTGCAGTTAGGGAGATCAATAGTATATAATAGAAATAGTAGGGGGCCGAGGATTGAACCTTGAGGCACCCCACAACTTGTGAAGCTAGTTTCGGAATTTACGTTGCTTATAACTGTAACCTGAGTTCTATCTGAGAGGTAGACTCGGAAAAGATTGAGACTAACACCTTTAAACCCATACAGCTCCAATTTTGACAGAAGGATCTCATGGTCAATAGTATCAAAAGCCTTTTTTAAGTCAGTAAACAGAATGGCATTTGTCAAACCATGGTCGATATTGAGATACCAGTTGTCTGTGATGTCAAGAAGAGCTGTAAGGGTAGAGCGCATAGGTCTAAAGCCAGACTGATATTTCGAAAGTAACTTATTATCATTTAAATATGAATAAACCTGATTAAAGGTGGTTTTTTCAAAGAGTTTGGCAATTACAGAAAGTACAGAAATTGGCCTGTAATTGGCTGGGTCAACTTTCGAGTCAGCTCTGAAAATTGGAGTTACTCTAGGACTCTTCCAGTCTTTGGGAATGATTCCCTTAGAAATAACTAAATTAAAAATATGTGTAAGGGAAGACGCAATGGATGGAAATGAAAGCTTTAAGAGGCAAGTTGGAATACCGTCGAGGCCATCAGCCTTGCCCACAGGAATATCATTCACAAGTTTGCGCAGTCCATCAATAGTCAGTAATTCGAGCTCGAAGGTGCTATCACACGGTTCTACAAAATCACGAAAGCTGACTCGAGGGTGATTTATGTTGGCCACTAAGTTAGGGCCAATATCGACAAAATGCCTGTTAAAAGCGTTGCTTAGCTCATGAGGGTCAGTTATCACCGTGTCACCAATAATCAATTTTGACACTGGAGCAAAGTTTTTCTTTCGCGATAATAATGTATTAATTCCATTCCAAGTCGCTTTAGCTTTCCCAACGTTATCCTTGAAGAACGAATGATAGTAATTCTTTTTGGAGACCTTTTTGGAGGTCTCCTGTACTCTGCCCATTTCAACTGATCACTGGTGAGAATTGCGATACGCTTTATTCTGTCTCTTTCCCTCATCAATCGTTTGATCTCGGGTGAGCCAGGAAGCATTAGAGTTACTAACTCTCCTATTCTTAACAGGTGCATGAAGGTCGGCTACTGCTAGAAATGATTGTTTCCACACCTCCCATGCGCCAGTAGGGTTATCAATCTGCTCAATTGTGTCCCACGGAACCAGCGCCATGTCATTCACAAAGTCATCAGGCACAAAATTTTTATATCGTCTCGATTCAGTGATTCGCAGGATCGACCTAGGGCATGTTAATTTACGAGAGACATAGATCAAACTATGATTGCTGCAACCAATAGGAGATACACCAGATGTAGCAAATTTGACCGGCTCATTGGTAAGAAATAAGTCGATAAGTGATTTAGTAATTGAAGTGACGCGTGTAGGCTCCTTGATCAATTGAGTATATTGAGACACTTCACAGAGTTCAATTAGGTGTCTAGTTTCATTAGCAGGGGTAACTGCCATCATGTCACAGTTGATGTCACCTAGTATATTTGATTCAACATTTTCAGCTTCAATCTTTGCCAGAAGGACCTCGAACTTATCAAAGAGATCAATTGGAGAATTCGGAGGTCTATACCAGTTTGAAATAAGAAATGGCCTGGCTCTGGGTCTTTGGATTTCAATACACAAGAACTCAAGATCTGGATCAGAGAGGTCGGATCTGATTTTAAAGGCGATGACGTTGCAAACTTATATGGCAACACCACCACCACCTCTGCACTGGTCACGCCTAATAAGTGTATAACCATCTATTGACACTGCAGAATCAGTGAAGGTGTTATCAAGACGAGTCTCACTTAAGGCTAGCAAGTCTAATGTCTGAGATTGCATTCTTAAGCGAAGCTCGTCCAGGTATTTAGGCAAACTAATGATGTTGAGAAATGCAATTTTGAAGCCCTTAAGTTTGGGTAGACTGAAAGTTAGGTCTGATTCAGATATACATTCACGGTTATAATTTTCATTAGACCGGGACGTGGTAGGGATAGCAGGCTCATTACCGAATAGTCAGTTAGAGTTAAGATAATCCGCATAACAATTTAAAAGAAGTGAAGACCCTTTGCGGTTTAGGTGAACACCCCTACGATTTAAACAAGTGAGGTCTATATTATTAATGCCGAGCAATGTAAGCCCACGAGAGCTACAAAACAACTTGAAGATCTTATTGGCCTCCCTGATTTTGTCGTTAAAATCTAAGTTATCTGACCTGGGTAGCAGAGGTGAAATAGCAAGGTGTGTAGTTGGGGAATCGTGTTGGATCTGAGTTACCAGGTTGACAATGCCCTCAGCCACGCTACACGGGCTTTCGTTTCGTATGTTACTAGTTCCCACATGGAGGATGATTTCATCCGGTTTCTTTCCAAGAAGAGGCCTTAAATAATCATCCATATCTGCAATTCGAGCACCCGAGAAGGACTTGACTGCAACATGCTTATCATTCGTTGATAGATCCCAACCCTGGACGTGTTGAATAATGGAATCCCCAGCTATGAAGACAAGCTTCTTTTTGGCCATATGATCTGTTGATCTAGTTCCACCAGAGACCGAAAAAGAAGGATTCTGAGTTTGCTGAGCCGCATTCCGAGTTTCCCAATTTTGGTGGCTAGATCGGTTTTGCTCAATAGGCGGCCGATGTGGTTCAGCTGGGTTTGCGGTCGCTGTAAGCTTTGCCTTTTTGCTGGGTTGTCTTTTGGTCCTCTGTTTAGACTTTGCGTTGTTCTCAGGTACCCAGGGGAATTCCTTGTCATGCATTGGTGAAGAAGTAACAGGAACACACTTTCCTTCATTGGGGTTTTGAAGTTCGTCGCTCATGAGCCGGATGGCCGTTAAGACTCCTGTTCTCTTCACGCAGTGAATTAGCTTCCTGTTTCAAAATGGTGTGGTGGGACTCCAACTCCTGCAATTTGTCTTGAAGATCTTTGTTCTCATTCTGTAGTGATATGACCAGCTCATTTGCATAAAAGTCATATATAGAAGTCAGCTATACCAAAGTAATGTGGAGTCCTGCAGGTGCATTCATCTGTACAGAATGAAACATTTGGGCATGGCAAAAGCAACTTGATGTAAAGCGTAGCTTGAGCAAATCCCACATCCTCCACAAGAACAGTGTAACTATTTCCCCGAGAAATATTTAAATAGCTTTTGCTGTTAATAATATCTCTGTTCATTTGGATCTGTTGAAACAAGAAAGCTTTGCAGATACAACCTGTCTTGTGTTCAATAAAAGCTGGTGACATTCCACCAAGTGCAAATACATTATCAGTTATTTCCTCATGTTTGCATTTTGAAATGTACCTTCCACAGGTCATGTGCTCAGAAAATTATTTACTAGCTGAACCTGTTAGAAGCAGATGTACAAGTTCAGGAATCTTCTGCTGTACACAGACAGAAAATGCAATCTGTAATTCCACCTTTTGTGTTCCATGAAAGAAGATTCTTAAGTCACCATTGTAGTACTCAAACCAAAAGCAAGTTGAGGCCCAGAAAGGAGCAATGTTATTCACACAATCATGGAGATGAAGAAGGCAGTGAACACTAAATGTGTCATATTGGCTTCCATACAAGCCCTCAATTCATGGACAAAACTGCCGCAAAAGGTTACCTGCTTCCTTTGAGGTGAGACTGAACTCTGATCTAATAACCAGATTGCTTCCACGAGCAAAGTGAAATGCTGAAAGTATTCATCAGGCAAAATGTTTCACAAACAGGGAATACCATAAAAAAAACTCTGAAGCTTTCCAATGAGGATAATCCTTTGCAATACTTCTTGGTGCCCGAGAAATGCAATTAGGTGGAGTTATATTTAGCAAGCGACTGTCAACATTTTCTACGTGTTTACGTATGTTCCCGTCTTCAGACGCATGTGTCTTGTCAAACCACCACGTCATAAGCATTTTCGTGACTCCCAGAAAAACACAGTGCATGTAATCCACTGCAATTCCTTTAAATAATATCAAATCCAGGAATAAACATAAACCGCGAATATCCTTTGACTCCACAGATAGGTGCATAGTTTCCCTCCAGTTTTGTTCTGTGTTAGATACGCATAATCAAGAGTGTTCTTCTGGGTACAGTCTGCTCCATAACCTGTTGACCGGTTTCCTCTCTTAAATGGATATGCATGGGTGTGTCCTCTTGCACTTGTCTTTACACTGGTTAGCTGGTACTACGAGCGGTCTGATCGTTAATACTCTTGAATGAAACTAAGATTCATTAATAGTAGATACTTATCTAACTTGTAATATCACTGTCCGAGATTTTAATCACACGGGAGCTCTCATCCTTTCTTAGATAAATGGTGGAGTTTTAAGCCCAACAAAATTGATGGTGGAACTCCAACCAGGTTTCCAGTTCTGAAATAAAAGATAAAAAGATTACTGCTGAAAAATAGGGAAGCTTTAGCTCTTTGGGGTCTGTAAATCTTGCTCTATAGCTTTTTCTTATGGCTGAGGTTTTTGTAGGAGCAAGGAGAACAATGATTGAGTGGGTGATATGCAGAACAGGTTTTGAGTACAGTGAAAAATAAACAAACGTCCCATTTTGGTTGTAAAGTGCAGTTGAAGGTGACATGACGTGTATAACAAGTAGAATTATTGTTATAATAATAATTATGTTCATTAACATCACCATGAGAAGCAAACCCAGAGTGACTATGGTTATAAAAATCATTGTCAGCAACTGCTAATGACAGGTTTTCAAACAGCATAGTGTATAATATCTGGTCCAACTTACACTGCAAGGTAGGCTTTTACTATGTGCTGTAGTGTCACCTTCACTGATCCATCACCTGCTTCTACAGGCTCATCTGTTAGGTACAGCCTATTGACTACTGCCAGGTACATCCACGCAGTACATGTGCAAATTGCAGGAACAGGACATCTGCAGCAGTTCTGTTTAACCTTAGCAAAGCATTCAATTTGGCCGTAACTAAAGCTACTGTCATCTTGGAATATCACCGTGTAGCTGTTGCGCTGGTGTACCCTGCCATAACGTTTTGAGTGAAAGACTCTTCCGTGTATGAGGGCTCTTTGGAAGAGAAAGGTTGTCATGGCAGGTGCACTAACAACATCCCTTAGGGCAATGGCCATTTCACCACTGACTTTTTGGTGTTTTCCTACACCTATCAAATAGCATCCCTCACGGACAAATTCCCAGCTCTTCCTAATATAAAAGAAACAGAAGTAACAGATAAGAAGACTTTCAAAGGATTGCTGTAAGTACCGAGGCATGAAATTGTTTTTGGTAATGCATACATGTAAATAACCATGAGGCAATGTGATAAACGAAAAATAATTACAAACGTATATTATTGGTACTTTTTTTGTAATATGTTTCCCACACCCCCCCTTCAGAAAAACATCTTATCATACCCGCCCCCCCTTCAGAAAAACATCTTATCATAACTAAATTTAGATAAACTAACAAAACGGAATAAAGTGCCAAAGTAATGGATAATGTGTCCATTACACTAGGCAGAAAATGATGTACCCTCTTGTAGAACTAATTTCTTTATCTCTGATTAGGTGGAGATTTTTTACAACAACTTGAACCAATAACATGAAAAGAGGCTTTCTTCGCCACATTCAAACGACGTCATTCTTTCTAAACAGCTGACTTGTAATTCTTCTTCTGCATGTATAGAGACGAAAAATCATGGCCTAAAACGAATATAATACGACTATCCACCAACTGAAAAGAAGAGCAAAATAGAACCTGTAGAATAGCAGAAGCAATTCCCCTTTAACAAGCAATGGTGGTAAAGGGCAATACTAAGAGTCGCACTTCAACTGCCATGTACTTTAACTAAACCGCTGTGCACTTGAATTCTGCTTTGATATGTTTGACGCCCAATCATCAAAGAATACCACAGTATTTTTTTTTGGCTAAAAAAATCTTCCCTACCTCAAATTTCCTTTTGCCTTGTAGCATCTGAGACTTTCCGAGCTCAATTTAGGTGCCACAGTTTGACTGTGAATGCAGATTTCTTCAGCGCATTTCAACCGACGCCATTTCTGATTGCTTTGAATGGAAGCTCTGTCTGTCCTCTTTCAGAAAAACTGGGATTCAAGGGACCAAACAGCCGCAGACAAAAATACTGGGACAAAATTTTAGGGTGGGTATAAGTTCTCGAGAATTGTGCCAGGACGCTATCTTGATGACGTCATCATTTAGACAAAATTGTGTATGGCGCGCACTGCTGAAAACTAGTGTGATTTCCTAAAGAATTACAATTACCTCTCACTACAGCGAATGCTCAACACTTTTTACCTGTGATTTAACCAAACATTTATAAGAAAACTAATAAAAAGAAAATATGTAGGTTGTAGTCGTTCTGGTTAAATCAAGTCTGATTTCTCAACCGCAGTTAATTTTTACAGCAGTTATTTTCTTCTGTTGTGTGATCACTGCATAATCAACGGTGACCTTTTCTTCGCTTTAAACAAGAGAAACTACACGCTTTGCTCTTTGACAACCTTCCAGCGCTCCTATGGGATTCCACCGCGTGCACTTGCTAGAACCGAACTGGATTCTTTCTCTACTTCAGTTTTATTCTTTTCCTGTTCTGTTCCATTGTCCTGATCTTGTGAATTTCTTTGGTTTCCTTAATTGTCTCGCATAACCTGATTGCCACACCGCGTGAATTCATCTGTGTAGTTTGCCAGACAAATGTCAGCCTGGTAATACTCTTCGTTATTCAAAAACATTTTAAAAAATTATTTACTTGTAGCCCTTGTTTTGGTTAATGCAATGAGTTATTCACCTCGGAATGTAGGTTATATTCGGTGTCTGCCCTTTAACCATCCCTTGTGCTGGATATTGTGCTTGACTTGCATGATGTATATCACTCTACTTCTCAATATCATAGCTAGTTAGCGTTTTAAGATGAATTTCTGTGGCACTGTGATCTCCCACGTAAGTAGAGTGAGCTACACCACTGCTATATGGACAGAAAACAAATAAATAGCTACATTGGCCTCCATACTTTTGGAAGATCCTTGGTTGTTTTTGAAGCAATCATGGGCGCAAACCCAACAAATTGTATTGCGAGTAGCATAGCTGATAACTTTACTGGTCGGCAAGCCTACTCCCGACGAGGAATCATGGCTATGGCCTCTCGTCCTCCAACTCATGTTGTATTACACCTATTTTTACGTCGTCGTCCCCAGTTGACAATAATCGCTTCTCTTCATCGTTAAACCGTTGATTAAATCTGGCCACTTCTCCTACTGCCTTTCCACTCTCGCATGCGCGGTTTTTGAAGTTACTTGAAGACACAAACGATATACCAAGTGTTGAAATTAGCCATAGGTTGGTTAGCTGGCCATAGCCCTTTCCATAACTTTTACGGTAAATTCAACTTGGGTTCAATGTTGTTATTTGTAAGACAGTTCAAAAACGTGTTACAGTCAACCCTGTATTAAGCGGTCACCTGTCAGTCCCAGAAATCGCTTCCCTTATTTACTGTAAACTTCACCTCCATTAAACGGTCACCTCTATTAGGCGGACACGGTCACTTTGTTTGCAAAAAATATATTCTGGGAGTCAAAGTTAAAATCACAAGTGTAACTTGTTTCCACTAATGTCTCAAAATCAATTATCTGAACAGTGGCGTTCGGTTATTTTTAACCGTAATGTCAACATTGAACATCACATTGATCTTAAACTTGCTTCTCTTTTAACCAATTGCGCGAAAAATTGTCCTCTTCAAAATGATATTCACATGGCACTCCTTAACCATAACCAGCTCCTCTGTTTGTGTTTTTAATTTAAAAATACAAAAGATAATCAAGTATCAAATAAAATGCCATTCCCACTAACCCTGATGTAGAATTTCACAATACCTGTATGAAGCGGTCACTTACCCATTCCCCGTGGGTGACTGCTTAATACAGGTTTGACTGTAATTGCCATATTTTTAACTTAAGCCAGGGAATATTAAATTCTGTTCTGTTAACTAAAGGCGTGGTTACCAGTGGTGGCATCGACCAACAAAAGGGAATAAATCTGCGCCCAGACCTGCATGAGAATTAACGTCAAACCTTGTTAGACCTCTCTTTCCTGTTCGATGATCTTAGTAGGGTGTGGGTTCGTCCAGGTCACTTTTTCTGTGCGGTCTTTGCGCTGTTTTGCCCATCTTCATCCAGGGCACCATCCATAGCCTCATAAAACTTAAAAAGCTGTTATTGAAGCAATATTATTTATGTAATGGATGAAATGATCAAACTTTATTAATATTATAAAAAATGTAACCCAAGAAAAAGATGTAATTTTTCCATGAGAGAAAATTTGTTTTACATAATATATCAATGTTTGTTATATGCTATGTCATTTTATACAAAAGCTGGAAGTAAATAAATAAAGTCTATTTTCAATTGCAACTGTGTCAGATGCAGCAAAGGAAACTCTGAAGTCAAAACTAGGATTGAAATTTATGCAAAAAAATCCCCTTCCGACTGAAACATGCAAGAATGATGAAGTCCCTCCTTTACATAAAAACCTCAATTAGTTTTTAGTTTTGGGGTTCAAGGGACAGTCTGAATGGGATACTCTTCTGTGTGTTTTGGAGCCACATCGGCGGTTTCTCCCACTGATGACCAGTATGGCCCCATCATCTTCCTCTGTCTCTTCCATGGCAGCCCTTGCTGCTACAATAAGTGCAGGATCCACCTCATCCTCCTCAGCATCATCATCCTCTTGGTCGTTTCCGTATGTATGGCGGACTGCGTGCTGCTTCACCCACTTCTTCCTAGCCTCTTGATCCTCAGCCCGGTCCACTTTCATCCGGATTCGTGTCTTCTTCCTGTGGTCTGTCTTTCTCTTCTCAATCTCTTTCATGCGATCCACTGCTGCCTTCTGAAGGGCCTCAATTACTGCAGGGATGACAGGCAGGTTCAGCATCTCATAAAGGTCAATCACCCAGTGGTAGTTCCGTCCCCTGACTTTATAGCACCAGGACATGTTTCCTTGGCAGAAACCACGGTTGGTTGAAGTAATGTAGTGTAACTTAAGAAATAACAATTACCCAATTGATGACTGATACACTTATAGATTCTCTTTACCATTTGCCTTGAAGGGATAAATTGGTATCGGTAGTTGCATAGAGAATTATTGCCCGAAAACCTTCAACTAATAACTGATCATGTAAGCCCGGACATTTTCCAGATTTTCAACATCAAATTGGACCTTGAATTTAAAAAGGTATCATCCAGGGAAAAAAATTTCAGCTCAGACCTATGAAGAGCAAAAGATTTTTTGCATGCTAATTATTTCAATTGAAGGTTGTGATAGTAACCCATATAATCATCCGAATATTACTGCCAGGGCAGCACTCGAATCTCCATCCTGCCAAACAACCTCCACTTTACAGCCCTCATCCCTTGCCTCCTTGTAGCACTCCTCTGCAAGTATGCCCTCCATGGACTTGGCCGTCCCCTCAAACAATTCATCCTCCAAAACACCATCTTTACCCCGCATACACTTATGGCCATACCACAGCAAACCACCTGTCAAGTAATTCTTAATGATAAAGGAGCCATTTTTGCTGAAATGGCCCCTTGTATGCCATACACCATCCGATGTCACCACTGCCCTCTTCCAACTGCCCAACTCGCCATTGCTCATTTCTTTCATCCTTTCTTTCTCTTCATCACACATACCATTCAAAATCTCCGTGACTTTAGGATAGACCAGCTTTATGGTTTCATAGTATGGGTTCTTCGAAATGCAGCTAATGCCAAGACACTGCCTTAATGTTCTGGAAAATTTGGCACAGCCATGACCAGTTATAAAAAATGCTACAACCAGAGCAAGTCCCACAACTGTCCGCTTTGAGCCTTCAACAAGGGCTGAACCACAAAAGTTCACGGTACGCAGTTTGCATCCATTGCATACAAATGTAACATTCGTGCACCCCCCAAGACCTGTTGGTTCAACTTTTGACACAACAAGAAAACCTGTTGAAAGAATGTAATTCTCCCTATTAGTGTATAAAACAAAAACAGTTTGTAATTAGTGGCTCAAATCCCATGATGGTGAGGTTTAAACCATTTGACTAACGCCCCTTCAGGAGGAAGGCCTTTGTAAAAATTACGTTGGATTGTTTTTTCATGCCGTCAAATAGAGGTTGCCATCGATCGTAACAGTAGACCATCTTTTTCGGAGGGGGATAAAAGAGTTTTCTCTCCTTCAAGGGGTTTTTGACGAGTTCACTCTTGCCACTACCGGAAGGTCCGGAAATAATCACACTGGCTGGTTGACGAATCATGTTTTCCACGGTTTACGAAAATGCTTGTAATGACCTTTGGTTCCCACAGCACCCATACGTTTATACCCTTTGTCCTTGCCTAATATATACCTTACATTTGACAACCTGTTGAACTCACTGCTGACATAACACAAATAAAGCAAAGGATGTGAAATAATAGAGCCAAGTAAACAATGGCGAAAAAAAAAGTTCACAGGTTCTTTCAGTGAGGTAAACCCTGATAAGGTTTCTTTGATCTTGTAGAAAAGTAACAGTTTATTTCATTACCATTCAAATAGATCTCAGATGAATTGTTTTATTTCTCAGATAAACTGTTTGACATGGTCATACTATATTGGTGCTGAAAAGGCCTTTCAGGGAGCAACTGTATGTATGTATAATAAGGGAAAATGAGGAGTGTAGAACAAAATACTGGTCTTAACACCTGAACTAAAATTAATTATTCAAGTGAGCTCTTTAGATAACACACAGCCATATAATGATGAGTAAAAGATTACAAGTCCTACAAGAAGCAAATGTACCATAGCAGTACATAAATATATCAGAATAAACTCAGCAGTGAGTGATTATTTACACATTTACATAGGTTTTGCAAACAAGCATGGATAAAATCAGACTATTGTTGGAATGGCTTGCATTGTGAAAGTCTTTACTTACCATTTGTAAAGTATGCATGGAAGTTATGTCACGGTGAAAAATTTGGCTCACTACTCGATCAGATAAATGAATTTACCTACCATTGCATTCAGGAGTTGAAGCAAGTTCCATAAAGAAGGAAAAGTGTACAAATGTGGTGGGCATGTTGGAAGAGCCCACTACAACAAGCTGAAAGAGGTCTCAAAGAAAAAAGTGTTTTCTGCTGATATCAAGAGGAAATATAAAGAGAAGTTCCCCCAAGTGGAAAGTGTTGTGGGCAAGTATGAAGAGCACAGAGCTGGATGTGGGTGTCTCAGGGACAACTTCCTGACAAATGCCCGCGTAAATCATTTCTGCTGCTTTCAACAGTGCAGTACTCCCCAAGAGTATGCAAGGAGATTGAGAGCTTTAGGAGAATATCATTCCAGGGACATCCATGAGTGGGATGGGGGTGAGTGTGGATTTCACCCAAAAATTGTATGTTCCTGTAAGAAATGTAAAGAAGATGAAGAACTGCAATGTCAGGGGAAACCCTACAAGATGAAGAACTCCCTTACCTGTGACTACCACTGGCTGCAATATCGCATTGAGTGTGAGCGCCGTGCAGAAGATGCAGATAGCGTGATCCATCCACCCATGGGGAGAGGCCATTCAAACTTGTGCGAGGCACATTTTACTGTTCTGCCTAACTACCGTGCAAAGGATCAAAATCTTTGTAGGTAAGTGAAAGAGTCCCAAGCTCTTTTGGCGGCTGTGGATAAGACGGTGCCAAGTCCTTTTCCTCTCTGATAATGATGGACGTTGTCTTTTATACCCTTGAATGCTTGCTTGGCTAAAAAGGCGCCCATTTTAGCAAAACTGGGGAGGGCCGTGATAAACCCATGGCAACGCCTTCTGCAATTTTATCCACTAGACGGAGTTTTCCTGTACATTGTGCTCCCCCTTTTTGACCCTTTCGCTTGGTTCTATGTGTTCACCCCATAGTGTATGATACAAACGCGGAGAGGCTAATTGAATGAGAGTCTTCATGTGTTCCCTTAAATAGGTTTCCCCCAAGCTTGTTGTTGAGCCAATTAAACCACCTGCTTCCAATGATACCCATCCCACTGGTCTTGGTCAAAAATCTCCCAGGGATGTTGACTCATATACAGTACCTTGGCTTTGGCAAAGGCCTCATAAACTTGACGGGAATCCTGACGTGTAACCATGCTGAAAGTACACTCTATACAATCTGGGAGAGACTAATGCTAGGGTAGTAAACACCTTTTTAAGGACTGGTTTGTCCAACAGAAAGGTGTTTAATGCAGACCATTGATGAGATCTGGCAAGGGTCATAATCTGCACCCAGTCTTGTAAAGTACCCAAGGGCCAATGACAATGACAGTACCATTGATACAACAAATAGATATGGGCTTGTGTAAAAGCCAATCCCTCTGTGACTCTTTGCTCATCCCCATGCATTAAACATGATCAAGAATGAAAGACACAGAGTTGGGTACACACATTTATTGTAAATCATAAAAATAGCAAAAGGCACAACGGCTTACATTGGGTTGTTTACGACTCAAATCTTTCCTAGTGACCTCTGTCTTAATTAGACGTTGAATCTTTTCACCCGCTCGCCTATCATTTAACACTAAATTTTGTGAGTTCCATTGCAGTAAAAAATCTTGAAAGGACTGATGCTTGGCTTTGGCTTTTAAAAACAAGAGGGCATAATGTCCACAGGTTTGACTGTCCATGGCTTGCAGGGTATGATCACTGGTAATGACTTCTTTCCATTGCTTGAACCAAGCTTGTAACTGTGGGTTCTTGTAAGTGGATAAGGGCAAATCATAACTATCAAAGACTTCACACACTGATTCCTGGATATAATGGTTTTTTGCCTCAGCACTTCTCCAACGGCCGCCCATACATATCAGCAAATAAGAGTACAAACAATCAAATTTCCACAGACGGTGTTGTGCAAGCTGGATTCATATAATGCGAGAGAACAAAAAAGCTTATGTTTTCTTACATTTCGTGTGTTCCGAAGAAGAAGATGGCAAATTTATTTGCAGGAATGTTCTCCTCTGGTGCAGGAAGATCAATCTAAATGAAGACAAGAAAACAGCAAATTTAAGAGTTGAGTTCCACACATCCTCGGGCAGTCAGTCGGGGCGGGTTAAAAGGCGCGACAAAAGTTTTCAAGCATGGCCGGAAGAGCCCCTGGGTACCGACTCTCACCGGACCATTTCCAAACGGTCAAGAGAATGCTGGTTCCTGATTGGGCGCAAAAAATGCTTTGTATTATTGTGCCCAATCGGCGGACAGTTTCTCCTGAGTTCTTTTCGTGAGTTCGTACACGACGGCTATTATCTCGCCACAGTTGCCCGGTTCGTTCGCCAAGCTTTCCTAACCAGAAACAAAGGAATTACCAATGAGTCGAAAAACGTTTCGGATGCGATCAGCAGGAGCAATTCAATTTGCACTGAGAAAATTCTGTTTCTGACAGATCACAATGTATCGTAAATAATAGGAAGTTTAAGATGAAGCGGCGACGAGAAAGTAAAAAAAAAGCAATAGCTTGACAAGGCAAAACAACAACTTTGCACGTGCGTCACGCTTTTTTGTATATTTCTTCGCCGTCACTGCACGACTACCACGTGAAAATGCCTAATTTCGTATTTTGTGAAGGACGTAAACAAGCGATGACAAAATTTTCTTTCTCTTTATGAACTTGGATATGGTTGATAGAAGTTCAGCTCCAGAAGAGTTAGAGACTGAAAAAATGTGAGTTCACTCTTCATGCGACGTTTTCGTGGTTGTCAGCTGTCGTGGCATATTAAACTCCCTAATATTTACGAAGGCGTGATCGATGCAAGCGTGAATACCTGTTGTAAACTCAAGCTTGTATTTTTGGGAAAGCGTCTATAGTTTTCGTGTAGACAGTGGTTGTCTTTACGCTAGGCTGTTAAGTAAGACTTGAGAGCTGCTAAGGTTTACATAACCAAAAATTTTCCGTGGGAAAACCTGAAGTAAAAAAGATAGGTTGTGTGTAAAGCTTCCTTTTACTTGAAGAATTTAGAATTTACTTGTCCTGAAATATTTCTTAGCTTATTTAGGCTCTAGTGCAAAGACTACCAGTATTTTGAAATGTAGCGTTTATATCAAATAGAAAGATTCCTGACTGTGTGCATTTCTTTGGTGCATGAGCCAGACAAGCCGTGATCCAGTCAATAGCCGTCGTGTACCAACTCACGAAAAGAATTCAGAAGAAACTGTTCGCCGATTGGGCACAATAATACAAAGCATTTTTTGTGCCCAATCAGGAGCCAGCATTCGCTTGACCGTTTGGAAATGGTTCAGTGAGAGTTGGTACCCAGGGGCTTTTCCACCTGTGCTTGAAAACTTTTGTCGCGCCTTTTCTCCCGACCCGACTGACTGCCCCTGGGTCTCCGAGGATGAGCTCCACAAAGCTAAGCAACGTGAACAAGTTTGCTTTGATTTCAAACTACTTACCCTTGCAGGTCAGGGTGGGTAGCCTCTCTTCTTCGCCCAGATTAATTGCCCTGGTAAAAACATTTTAAGGTCGCAGCAATAAGTGAACGGTGTATCTCAAGTGCTGCCGCAGATAAAGCACCCTCTGACTGGAGGCTGTGAAGACTAGACAGGATTGGGTCCAACCTCTCATTCTTCAACTCTTCCTTTACCAGCTCGCTCGCATGAGAACACGACATAGGTGCTTCCTTAAGCACCCGGCCTCTCTTTGTGCTCTGAATCCTGCAAAACAGCTTTAACCCCTTGGAATGACTGCCCATCAGGGAACCTCTCTAACACTGCTACGGGGCAAGGGGCTGCCTCACTTCTTGCATTAAGAGCTATGACCCTTCCCGGAATTGTTCATTCTTACGTTGCAGCAAAAAGAGTGCAACATGTGAATCAGGAAATAACAGATCATCCACTGCCACATTGCTTAAATCATTGCACCGTAAGAAACCGAAAAACCCCATAGCAAATATCACTGCAACTTGTACGTCTGCCAGACTGCCCTTTTCCAAACGAGATATAATGCGCATCACTTGATCCGCCGCAAGGGGTTTCTTGCGGTCTGGCGGCCTACGCAGGATTCTACGAGCAGCATCCACCAACTGGGTCGCGAAAAGGTGCTCAGTGACTTGGAGGTGACGTACCTTCTTCTGTACCAAACTCACTCTATACAAAGCAGAGTTAATGGTAGAGACTGACTTGTTCACCTGGATCAACTTAACTTAATTCAGGGACAACACCACTGGTACAACTGACGCATGGCACTGCTCGGCCCAACACTTCCACGTCCCAAACGCATGGAGATAACTGTTGACTGTCTTTGGAGCTTTATCTTAATCACCGCGTCAACTTCAATTGTGCATGCCAACGCCTTATACACTGCTGTAATGAGAAGGGCTAATGTCAAACAAGCGATGATTTCAAGTCGGGGAATTGTTTCTGCTTTCAAAGGGGCGACTTGGGTCTTGGAGGCTAGCAGGTGTGAATAATGTCCAGCAGACGTTGTCACCTGAACATACGTATTTGCGCCATAAGCAATCCTGCTTGCATCTGCAAACCCGTGCGGCTGAACACATTTGACCTGCTCTGCTTCTATTCTATCCATGATGCAACGGGGGATTGTAAAACTTGAAATCCCTGCTATGTCTCCCACCAATTCCTTCCAACGTGAAGTGAGGTCTTCCGGAAGAGCTTCATCCCATTCAACCTTAAGCTGGCAAATTTCTTGAAACTTGCATTTAAATGGCAGAATAAGTGGTGACAGCAAGCCTAGTGGATCATAGAATCGAGCGGTAACGCTCAACAGTTTTCGTTTTGTTAGAGTTCCACTCAATGTCTGCTTAGAGAACACGCTGAGATCAAACTTGAAACAGTCTTCTGACTTGTCCCACATAACGCCCATGACCTTGACGACAGTTTCTTCACTCATGACATTGCTGTTAGTAGACTTTGGTTGATCAATATTTTCAGTTTCAACAGACTTGGTTGGTTCCACTGCAGGTTTTCCAGATAGCAGAGTGGTCTGTTCTTTCTTGATTAATTCGTTTAACTCTCTGCTGTTTGAAGCCCACTTCCTCATATCTAATCCCCCTTCCCTGAAACCTGTTTTCAGCTTCTGATAAAGTTCAAAAACGTCCAATACAGTGTTCTTTCCAGATGCAAGGTCATCAACATACAAGGCTTTGATTACGGTACTCCATTACCAGAAATTAGGGACAAGATGGCGGTTGCGCGTGCGCACGAAGGCCACAATAGCTGCGAATTCGTATAAGAAAATGTATGGAGATAAGAAAACTTTTTCAAATATATCGATTATGAGCTCACGGGCGTTCAGCGCCCGACTCGAAACATGTTGTGTTCGCATCTGGGTTAAAAATAGCTAATTAGAAGTAGGTTTACTTACTTCCTGACGTGGCCATTTTTATCCCTCGTTGTACGCTCCATTTCTCCATATATTGTCTCTTAAAATCTTGGCGAAGTCATGCGAAATACTCGTCGATTAGAGGATAAACCCTTCACTGAAGTGAATTTGCCCGACTCGATATCACTTCTGCCATGGAAGATGTTTCCAAAACAGTCGTTAAAAGGACGATTTTTGCACTGCAAAATACTTCCAAAGGCGCATTATTTCCCTCAGTTTTCCATCTGTAGTCCAGTAATGGACGCCATAGTTGCGAATGACACATTTCGGTTGGACAAAGCTTCACAACTCCAAACCTCACCGAATCGCCATTTCTCTTGTTGCTACAACTCCAGAGATGCTTCACGGGATATAAACTAGGTTCCAGGCATTCAAAAATCCTCGATTAGCCTACCAGGCTTGGTTTTAAAATAAAATTGTCACGAAAATGTTTCGAAAGGTACATCCGCGTACTGTTTTGTTGCTGTCAGCCACTCGGCCGAGTATAAACCTAACATTTTCTTGCAAGGTGTTTTATTCCATCTTTTTTCTTCGTAAAACAGATCCACAGAGCTCAAATTATTTAAAAAATCGCAAGGGATACGCTTTCCCTGACTACGATCGTTTTTGTCCGCCATTTTGAAAATGAGATTCCGCTGACAATGAACCACGGGCGCGAAATGTCCTCGATTTCTGCCAATGCACAAACTGTGGGTCCATGTTCTCATACTTTGATAAGTGGTTTCTTAATGTCACATTCAGAATGAATGGAGAACAGACAAGGCCAAACACTAACCGCGTAAATCTTAACTTGATTATTTCTGAATTCAAGGGGTTGACATCATCAATCCATAAGAACCTCAGGAAATTCCTATCCTCCGGCTTGACTTCAACATCACGAAATGCCGTCTCTAAATCTCCGATCAAAGCAATCTTTGGGAGACGAAATCTCACCAGGATATCAAAGAGCAATGGAGTTAATACAGGTCCAGATAAAAGACAGTAGTTCAAACTTGGTTCATTGTAAGACTTTGCACTAGCATCATAAACAACTCGCAGTTTAGTGGTAGCTCGATCTTCCTTCAGTACGTCCTTGTGAGGAATGTAATGAACAGTTCCTGGGACAACTTCCTCTTCAGGCTTGTCAATCACTTCAACAACATCAGACTCCAACTGTTCTTCGATTACATTATCATACTGGTTTAGTAACTTTGTTTCCGATGACTTCAATCCTTTCAACAGGGAGACCAGACGGTTTTGTGCCAAGGAGTAGTTGTCTGAAATGATGGGGTGTTCTTTCTTGAATGGGAGAGAAACTTCATAGCGGTCATCATTGAATCTTACTTTAGTTAGATACTCTTTACAGAAATCTTCTTCGCTTCCTTTAACTCCGATAGTGTCATAGTCCCAATACGTGGCTAGTTGTTCCTTCAATGAGGCATCATTTGCATTAAAGTCTTCCGTAACCATTTGACACTCAGTTTTCATTACATGGGACATATTAACACTTGAAGGACTGTGATCAGAACATGCAAGATTGACAGGTCCACTCAGCACATAACCCAATCTTGTACAGATTGCTACTGGGCCATGCAACTCCCCCCGTACCACATGATTTTGAACAACAGTCCAATAGTAATCAGCTCCCAGCATGACATCAATTTCTAGACCTTCATCACCTCGTGATTAATCAGCAAGAGGCAAACTGCCTTGCTATTTCAATTGTTTGATTTGCAATAGGACCACAGATTAATTCAACTTCATAGGCATTGATGAACACTCTCAAATTGTCCTGGTATTCCAACGCAAACTGAACAATGTTACATTTCTTTAGCGAGGGT